GTCTCACCCCAGACAGCTGGAGTCTAGACTTTAAATCTGGATTCTAGTTTAATCTAGTTTAATCTCTAGGAGTTCCTAGTTCTCTAGGAGAGAACTCAATAGAGTTCACAGAATATTTCAACATAGTTTAAATTATGTACTTTTACAAAAAGTAAACTCTTAAAGTACAGAAAAGACGGCCATTTTCTTTCCTCGTTTCATTATTAAATGTTGACCGTGTGCTAATTTTCCATTTCTGAACCTCATATTGAAAAGAGGGCTTTACATCTAATTTGGTAATTTAAGCTTTTGATTCAATAGTTAGTTAGAACCAACATGTTAAATCAAAACCCTTTTGTACAATTACTTGATGATAAAAATAAATAAATTTAAAAATAGGTCTCTTGTGTGAATGGCTAGGCATCAGCATGTTTCTTCATCTACTTCTTACAACATGAAGGGTAAAAATGAGGCCCAACCTTCATTTGATCAAAATTGTCAGCAATATGTTAACACTATTGTCATAAGTGGTTCATAATCACCGCAACCAACAAAAAAGCAAACGAACTAGGTACCCAAGTCTTTCTAAATCCAGGTTTGCTGAGGCCTCTACAACTTGATCTTATACAATTTCCGAGACCCTCTTTAAGGAAAGCAATGGAAGAAGACACACTTTGTTAAGAGGATACAGAGGGGCCTACAGGGGAGAAAGCTGGTTGAGTAGATCCCTCATTCCCCAGTAAGTCTGCCTTTGAGCAACAGAAGCTAGTATTGTTCAGGAAAGTATAGCCAAAAGATGTCTTAAGAGATTCTACTTAATTTCCTTAACCTAATAGGACATTAAAAGCCTTTCCATTTATTTTTTTCCAGTTGTTGTTAAGTCTTGTCCCTGAACTTGTAATTTGAAACAGAAAATTATTCTTCCAACTTCAAATATTATTTAAAAGGAACATAATCTTCCAGACATTTGCTATTCCAAGCTAGCATTGAAATAAGATAAAGATGTTTTATTTATGGGAAACTCATGAGGTTGGATCGCCACAGCTCTGTGCATGCATTCTCTAGTCACTGGGTATAATGCATTCTATATTTTGTTGTTGCCTTCTGGTATTAAATATGTCAACATTTTGCATTGGAATCATAAAAGTTAGTGAGATAGTTCTGATGAATAGCAGCAAGGCCAGAGGAACGGATAATGTATAACATGAATTCCTTAGGAAATCAATTAATATTTTTATGAGCAATAGTAAAAATATGATCAAGGGTTAGCCAAGAGTGAGGTCAGACTGTTTGATCCCTAAATATAATTCTTCGTTGAATTCTATTGTCGTAAAAATATTCTGTGCTGAATCACAGCTGAAATGTTGGTGCTCGCAGGAGTAAGATATATATGTTTGATTGTGCAGACCTCTGCATCTGGCTGTGTGCATCCTGCCTCCCTTCTGAAGGTTTGGGAGCTCTAATTTCTGTGGTACTTCCGTATCACGGGTGAATTTTTTGTGGATCTCTGAATGTAGCATATTGCTGGTACTCTGAAGTATGTATTGTGTGGCTACCAAAACATTACATGCTATAAAACTATATGCAAGTGCCTAAATTAATTTTGAGGAGGTCTTTGTTGAGGAAAGGTAAACATTTCTTTGTTCTCTTCCTCTCCTCCTTCCCTCTCGTGTCCTCCCTCCCTTTTCCCTCTCTCTCCTTACCAGGGTCTTGGTACGTAGCTCAGGCTGGCCTTAAAATTACAATTCCACTGCCTTAGCCTCTCAAATATTGGTAATTACAAGGTGTGTATCACCACACCTGACTCAAAGGTAAGCAATTTTAATACTACAATAACTGGTGATTAATAATGGCAAATAAAGTTGATCACCACTTCTGTCACATTTACATGTTACTATTCACTCATTCATATTCACTCTATGTAGATTAAATCCTCAATACATAAATTTGCTGAGGGCAAAAACATAGACTGAGGTTAGGAATATAAAGCTAAGAATGACTACAACATTCCAACGAGAACCCTAGCAGATGGTACTTGTTCTAGTCACTCTACCATGGTGACAAGTTTGCAGTGACATCACACACTGTCTGGCCTTGCCTGGATGGACCAGCAGTGTCGCCCGCAGGGGAATCCTGGTCTGCATGTGCTCTGTGTGTGTGTGTGTGTGTGTGTGTGTGTGCGTGCGCACCCCACGGTGGAGGGACGGGGCACAGTCTTGGGCATCTCATGTCCATCTTCCAGTGGACATTCCTGTATTTCTGAAGAGTGGTAAATCTGGCTTTTTATAGGAGAACCTTCCAGGAACATGAAACATGTCTTGCATATTCATGTAACAAGAGTTGAACTTCTTCTCTCTGTTAACAGTTTAGGAAAATATTAAGTACAGATGGATTAAAATACCCACAAGGGAATCGTACACTATGCCCTGAGAACTGCTGGCGTTAATGGTGGCCACACTTCCTTCCTTCAGACAAGAAGGTTGCCATCCTTCTGTGAGGTTGTGCCTAATGGCACCTCTTCTTGCACCCCATTCGGTCAAGCTGGGCACTGCTGGCCTTCAGACAGACTGGCAGCCATCAGCACAGCTCCTCAGGAACGTTCGTTGGACCCACAGACGTCACATTTCCTGTGTGGTGACCAGAACACGAACAAACTGCGACGTTCCAAAGTACTGTTTCTGAAAAGCAGTCCTTTGAAGGGCTGCAGGATGGGGTGGACATGCCTAATTCTCTGCTGCCGGTCTGGCGTGGTCCAGGGGTAGATTCTCGGCTATCTGGGGGGATGGGTCAAATGAGTGTCCTGTAGTCAATTTTCCTTGAATATTTGTCTTTTGGGTAATCCTTTGGCTGAATATTAAATAAATCTGCACTTACTCTATGCTAAACACTATTCAGTATAAAACAAGCACACAATATTTTACATTTAGATGTGGCCATAGGAAACTCAGTTTCTTTGTTCTGATTTCAGCTTCTTTAAACCACAGTGGTGGTTTAAAATATGCCCATGGGTTCTTTCTTTTAAAAGATAAAGCCCAGCCCCTCTCTTCCTGAAAGGGCCTAGTAGAGATACAGCAGGGTAAGATGATCAAGTTAGAGATTAGGTCCTGCAGGCTCTGTGGCTCCCTCCTCACTGGCTGTTGGACAGCTTTCTCTGCGGGGCGCTAGCTGTCACTGTGGGGACAAACAGCCCAAGAAGAAGACGGCACGCGAGGAACTGTGATCTGAGCACGCCTCCCATCAGAATGAACACATCCCAGAATGGCTCTTCAGCTCAGGAGGGACCCTGAGCCAGACTCACATGGCCAAGCCACTCCTGACACTGAGCCAATAGTAACTACTTATTAGGTATATTTAATATTCATCACTATTAAGTATTATATTAAGTATACTATATCAGATATTATATTTATTAGATTAAGCGATCTCAATTTGAGGCTGCTCCATGGTACTTGGTAACTCAAACAAACGGAAAAGAGTCTCTCCCAAAACAATAAACAGAATTTAAAACAGAAAAACAACTCAATATGTAGGCCTCCAGCGGACAAAGGACCAGGCCGAACACGCCATCCTCTTTGATGCACACTTTTTGCCCCTAAACTCTCAACTGACACAGGGTGAAATAACTCGCTTTATTCCTGACACACAATTTCCAATGATTTGGGGCTTAAGTGTATAGGTTACTCACAATGTCACACTGTGGGGTTTATGTTTATATGTGTGTGTGTTTGTATGTGTGTGTGTGTTTTATAGTTGCTGTTAAAGGAAGATAAAATTCCACAAAGCTTAAAGTCACCTAAATCTTTTAAAGTTCTCTAAGCGAAGTGAACAACTCAAGATGGGATGTGGATACTGTCTACCAGTGAGGAAAGTCAAACTCTTAGATCCCAGGCTATGCGGACTAGAACAATGGTACATAGTCAGCAGCAGAAGGACACAGTCAGACAACAACCTAACGTGATTTTAACTCATATGAAGAGAAAACATTGGTGGGAATTCTGACCCTGCATTCATTGCCAGCCTAGGTCACTTACCATCGGGGTGGGTGACACCCCAGCGGACAGTGACCGGGGTTGGGAAGAGCAGTTGACTCTCGACAGCCTCTGGGGCTGGCCAGAATGATTGGAGTTTTCATTTTGATGCGCTGTGCTTGTTAAGATATACACATTTCTCATCATTTTCTGCTTACGCTCCCTTGCTCAGCCCAGGGTTTTAGGAGACATGTCACACCACAGACAAGGAGCGCAAGCGGATGCGACACAGGGCAGCTTGTGTGACAGTGACTGGTGGTGGCCAGCCAAAACTCATGCCTAGGTTGATAGCCGCTACTCTTCATGCCCTTCTTCCATAAAATGACTCACAAAGTTGCATTTGTAAGACAGATGTTTTCTACGCAGACCAGTGGCATTTTATAAGCACATGTGCCTTTCCCTCTTTTCCGGGCTCTCTGTGCTCTGTATCAGGGCAAGGAACCATTTGGCATCTCGATCTATAGTTTAGCAAGCCGCTTCCTCCTCTCACCTCCAGGCCGGCAGATAAAGATTCCTTCCCATCACTGATCAGGTGCTATGACTTGACCTCTTGGAATGTTTTTGGCATTTCTTATTCTATCTCCCTAACGGACACCATTAACTTTGGTCATCTTCACTTAAACAAATGAACACTTATGCAGGTCATGCTACCTAGGCCTGCCCAAGAGGTCTCCTGCACTTCTGTCTACTTTAACACAACTTCACAAGCCTGCTGAACCACTATGACCGTGGTTCACAGCATCTCTGAATAAATACTGCCACAAACAAATAAAGCAGAAAATCTTCATGCAACTATAGCCCTTCCCCAATAAATACATATATTTTCATACGTGGAGTTGTATGGAAGAATTTTTTAAAAATCTATTTCCCATATATTATATATTCACAGATGTTTGAGTCCAAAGGCAAAAATCAAAAATAGAATCACAGCCCATTCACAAAAGCAAAGACAAGTAGCACAAACACCCAGCTTCCCGGGTGGTCAGTACTCACCCCACAGCCCAGGCTGTTGCCTCCTTCACAGGTGACTCTCCTCTGGCCCTGCTCGGGCAGCAGGCCTGCTCCACAGCCCGGGCGGGGGCACAGCACGCCCCCCATCTGCAGCACACATTCCTCCGCCCCGTACTGCTGGTACCGGTTGTACTGCAAGAAACAAAGGACAAGGTGAGCTTTCAAAGTGACGAGAGCCAACCAAGTGCACAAAGTGATCGAGGACTGACTGAGTATACAGTGATCGAGTACCAACTAGGTACACAAAATGACGGTGAGTACTAAGTATACTGACAAGGTGAGTATGTAGCCAAATTGAGAATCTAGTATACAGATAATGTAATCGGCTGTGACCGCCAAAGGCTCATAGCATTTGAGTGTAGGATTTCTTTCCTGTCCATATTAGTAGACAAGGGGTATGTGTGCGTGTGTGTGTGCGTGTGTGTGCACGCGTGTTGAGAGTGAAGTCAGTTCAGTCATTATTTCTCGCCTGTTTGTACTCAAGTTCTATAACCTAACACACAGGTCAGTCAGCAGGCTGGGCGGCTCGGTGGCAGGTTGAGTTTGGAATTTAGAAGACAGGAGGTTGTGGTACACTCTGATGTCCCCCATCTGCTCACTTCTCCAGTCCTGAGAATGGAAGAAAGACAGCCTGGCCAGACCTCTGCACACAGGCTGATGGCCCCCACCCAGGAACCTCGCAGAATCTTCCCCACGGCAGGGTCTGGGATCGCACGTGGCAGGAGGGTTAGAATGCACGATTGATGGGTAATGCATGGATTGATGGGTAAGGCTCTCCAGAAGGAGTCATAATGTAGGTGGTAATGAGTGCATGAGATGAAGGTATTTTACTGAGTGTAGAAGCAATTTATATAACTCAGAGGTTAAGTATTGGTGATGTCTATGGATTTCTTTTCTTTTTCTCTTTTTAGTGCTGAGACTGGGACTAGGTCCCTGCTGCTTTTGCTCATTGGCTAGTGCTCTACCAACTGAGCCACGCCTCCAACCCCATAAAGGACTGGCTGTTTCTTTTCTTTTCTTTTTTCTCTTTAGATCCAAGACTGTGACTGGAACTCGAGCCCCTGGATTACGTAGAGTCCTTGGATATAAACCTTGCCTGGAGCACATCCTAAAACACATGCTGGGACTGAGAGTCTGTGTGGGTGATCTGGGCTTCTCCATGCTTCGCCTGTGTCTCTGAATTCCCTGCATCCTTGAGTGTATGAGTAGCATGTGACACGAGGTGACATCTCTATTCTGGTGAAGTCTGCTTTGAGTTACAAATCTCTGACTCAGTATCTTACAAACCTGGAGCCAAGATGAGACACTGCACACTGCGGAGCTGTGGAGAGGTAACATGCCAGCCCCGAGACAGAAACCCAGCAGCCGCTGGGGCAGGAGGAGGATGAGGAGGCCGCAGCCCAGTGAATGCCAAGGGCACACAGCCCAGGGAGGACCTGGTGATGAACTCGTCCAAGGCCACTGCAGGGCACTCACTGGTGTTAGAGATGCAGCTTGCATTCTGCCAGGTGAGGGCTACTTTGTTGTGGTTCTGTGGTCTAGGGTCTTACTGGAGACACCTGGAGAGCCAGCCGGGGCACAGTCCCCAGCAGCAGCTACAACTACTGAGGCAGTGGGACTGTAGAGGTTTTTCTGAACACGAAGGCATGACAGCATGTTACTATTCTGAGGGAACAGACGGGGGGTGGGCGGGCAGTGGGTCTTGTAGGCTAGAAGTCCTGAGCTGGCTGGAGGGATGCAATTCTACAGGGTATGGTGGGTGTGGCCTCAGATAGGGCTTGACTCAGGGGTAGACTGGCAGAGGAGGTGCTGGAAGCTTTTAGGGGGCAAAGGAATCAGCTGGGAGACAACACAAGTAATCTCAGGTAACATCACCCATGCAGCCCTGGGGGTCAGGTCTAAAAACTTCCTCAAATTTTCACATTCTGTCTATTCTCACCTCCAATGTTTCTAATAATTATATGACACTTATATCACAAACACATATGGTCACCTCAGCCTTGATCTCTTCCTCCTAATCCTCATGCAGCCTTAATCCACCCCGTCTCTGTCTGTCTGTCTCTCTCACACACATACTTATCCACTACTATTAGTCTTATGTTAATGTAACTTTTTTTGTTTGAAATGTTCTCTCATAAACTTCTCAGGAAGAGTTCATGAGAAAACACTCATTGAGTTGTTAGACATTAAGAGTTTTAATAGTTTTCTTGGGAACATTATTATTATTATTATTATTATTATTATTCATGGTAGTGGTCCTAGACTCAGGATTTGTACCACTTTAGTTACAATTCCAGTCCTTTCACTTTTTTTTTCTTGCTGGTTGTGGGACTTGAACTCTGAGCCTGGGCGCTGTCCTTGAGCTCTTCAGCTCAAGGCGAGCACTCTACCACTTAACCATAGTGTCACTTCTGGTTTTCTGGTGATGAATTGGAGATAAGAGTCTCATGGACTTTCCTGCCTGGACTGGCTTTCAATCTTGATCCTCAGATCTCAGCCTGCTGAGTAGCTAGGATTACAGGCGTGAACCACCAGTGCCTGGCCAGTTTCATGCTTTTGGTGGGGGCTTTACTTATATGTGATCCTCTTACCTATACCTCCCTCATGGCTGGGATTGCAAATATGAGCCAGCATGCCTAGCTTGTTCTTTGAGATGAGGTCTTGCTAACATTATTATTATTATTACTGTTATTACTGTTGTTGTTGCTTGGGTTGCTCTTGAACCACAATGTCCTCATCTCTGCCTCTTCTAGTAGCTGGGATTATGGGCACCAACCAGTATGCCTGGAATAGGGCCTTTGCTCTTAAAGATAATTTTGACTAAATATAACATCCTGGATTTAGACTTTTTCCTCCCGGAGTATTTTAAATATATTACTTCATGCTCTTTGGATATAAAGTGTGATGGACAAATCTGATAGTAAACTGCTGAGTTCTCTCTTGCTCTCTCTTTTTTTTAATAAGTGAAATGATCTTTCTTTGTCCACATGCTTAAGGGATTATCTTCCTTTGAAGATAATCTTTCAAACCCAGAAATTTCCTTAGATTCTTTCTTGGTGCTGGTCATTTTGGGATCAGTTTTGTGTGCACACAGTGAGGAAAGTCAGCCTGACCTTCAGGCCTAGGATGCGCTCTGCTTGCTGCTCTCAAGTTTTAAAAATATGATTTCTAGTACACAAAATATTGCATTTTCTTTAACTGTGAAATCCATCAGCCCCTCTCAGAACTCCATCGTTTCTATTTATTTCTGATTTTTACAAGTGTAAGTTTGACTTGACTTCAGGTAGTCTGCCGCTCTTCTTTGTCTCTGTGTAGTTTCCAAACCCTGGCTGGCCATTTCAGCTTGTGTCTGTGTTGCGCACGCGTGCACTGGGTGGGGTTGCGTCTGTGTTGCGCACGCGCGCATTGGGTGGGGTTGCGTCTGTGTTGCTCACGCTCACTGGGTGGGGTGGCGTCTGCGTTGCGCACGCTCACTGGGTGGGGTTGCGTCGTGTTGCGCGCACGCTCACTGGGTGGGGTCTGCGTTGCGCACGCGCGCATTGGGTAGGGTTCCACTCTTCCTGCCCCTCTTTTCCTGCCAAGGCTCTCTAGGAAGCTCACCGCTTCTCTTCAGCTAAGGCGTTCTTCTTTGTCTTCTCATGAAATTAGTTTTCCTGACGTTTCCAGCTCTGATCTTCCTCGTCAAGGGCTTTGCGGGCAGTCTTCAACAGTCTGCAGATTCCTGTCACCCCACTTCCAACGAGATTTTCTTCTCCCTTCCCCCCTTCTCTATTCTAAGTAAATTTCTCCCGCAGGTGGGGCTTTGTTTTAACTAAGATGGCTCTTTGGCTCGTGACCTTCTGTGAGTCTCTGGGACCCGAGGCCTGCCAATTCCCTTAGATCTTTTTCAGATCTTCTCCTCTCCCATATCCTTGTCCAGGTTTCTATGCATGACCTTGGAGACTATGTCTCAATAGTATGTCATGAATATCGTGAATAGTACATCATGAATCCCGTGTGTTGAGTTAATGACATGCAACTCCATGAGGTCTCTATGAAAGAATTCTAATAAAATAATGGCAATGGGAATAGACAACAGAGCGAATTAGGATAGCTTTATCTGTATAAGTGCTGGGGATGAAGCTCAGTGGTAGATCACTTGCCAGCATGCTCTGGACCCTGGCTTCTATCCCCAGCACTGCAAACAAAAGAAAACAAGAAAACCCCAAAGTACTCTTAAGTATATACCTGTTTTCTCCATCACGATCACCTATTTAACTTTCTTAGATAGAATTGTTTCTTTGCAATGATAATGGAACAATGGCTTCCATGTAGGAGGAAGTTAGCCTATACACAATAGCTATGGAAATTAGAAATTCACCTTTTATTTTATTTTGCTTTCTTTTATTGTTAAAAACAGTATTTCTAATTTAGATTTGCTAGGAAAGTTCCAAATTTAACTAAATTATCCATCTTTTTTTTGGAATTATCTTTATATAGTTGTACAAAGGGCTTTAAATTCAACACATCAAATAAATTTGAATTTATTGCTGAGTGTATTCATAGTGATCTAAGTTGTTCATGTAAAACAATTTCTTACGATTTATAGCTAAATTTTATGAATAATGGAGATTATAGTCTACTTATGATGAAACAAAGAGCAGTTGAGCATATACTTCCTTTTCTGAGGGAAGACAAATACTTTAATATGTCTAGTGATTTACAAATGATTAAAAAGTACATATCTGAACTATGCTTAACACTGTCAAATTTAAAAGGAAAACTTTTGACCTAGAACCAGTAATGGCCTAGCATCAGTAGAAAGCTTAATGCTCTAAGGAAAGGATTTGGACAAGTAATTATGTATGTCATTAGTGAAGAGCCTGATTTAGCTTCTTTTAAGACATGACCCACATATCCTTAGACTCTTTTTACCTTGTCGCTGGCACAGAAAACACAACTTTATTGCAAACACACCACTACGTTCTTTATGGCTGACAGGTCAGCAGTGAGTAGCTTATCTATAGCTATCAGTATAAAATATGCAAAATAATGATAAGGAAGTTGATACATGGACTCTTAATTGCTGTCCAGTTCCTTTGATACTACTGTATCAAATACTGTACAGAGGGGTTACAATTACATGGGCAAGA